AAAGGGGCGAGCATGTTTGGTGGGACGGGGATGCGAACCCGCGACCCGCAGGTTGCGAGTCGAACGTCCTACCCACCTGACCATGCCGGGCCGAAAAAAGAGTAAGTCAATGTCAATACTTTAAAAGAGTGCCAATCCCCAAGAAACCTGAGGCCCAGTTTGTGGCTAACATAAGACTACTAGCTTGATCAGTCATACCTCAAAAGTATGGCTAAAACTAATCCTCAACAAATTTAAACAAAGTTGAGAATGAGGTATCAGAAAACCAAAATGGTTTTATGTATTGTTAATACACTTAAAGGAAGCATTTGATATGGTTAGTTAAGAGGAATCATAATAAGAGATCACACATTAGTCTGGGGTAATCAGGTATTAGAATCTTGAAATACATATTTCATGTACTGGAGTTAAGAAGTAGCAGGTTGAATTAATGGAAAAACTATGTAGTTAGTCTTTCATTAAGAGGTACAAGACAAATAATTTTTCAGTTATTGACATTAATTAAATTGTATGCAGAGTGGTTAATGAAAGGTAATTGCTCATACAGAAAGGATCAATGTCAACAGAAATAGAATCAGTTGTGATAGGTATGCTAGTGATATGGCACTTAAAAGTGAATCTGATGAAACTGTTCTTTAACAGGTTTGTTGATAAAGAGGAATACTGTAGTCTCACAATAAATATCAACAAAGCTAAGACGATGGTAATTAAACAATCTGAGGAAGCTCAAAAAAAAAAGAGAAGGCATCCAAGTAGGAGGTAAAGAGTTGGAGCAAGTAAACAAGAATAGCTGTTATTGGTATTTTCAACCTGAATGACATCTCATGCTAAGCCGAAATCCTTAAGGTTCAGGCATAGCCATGTTCAAATTATAACTGATGAAAAACAGAGTAACCAATATCAACACCTACAAACACTTATGCAGTTGCTTTTAACCAGATAATGGAATGAACTTCCACAATTATAATACCGTGGCTCAAACTTTCTAGCTTCTGATCTGCAGTACAACATTCTAGTTACTAGAACACACCTGACCCATCAAGCATAAATGATGTATTTAATATTTTTTTAAATCGTTTAACGTCCACTGACTTAAAATTGATAAGCATATTTAATTTTTTTAAATTGTCTTTTAAAGAAATTACGAAAATTTCATGTCACTTTCAATGCAATGTTAAAGCTGTAAACATATTCATCAATTCAAGCATTAAATCTTTCCAGTTATCTGTAAAACTGTATATCGAGAAATGAAAAATTTTCTACTTCTGGGTTGCATTTTTTTTTATTCAAATATTTTAAAAGAGACAGATAACAGACTAAATGCCATTAGGACATCTCACAACAGTCAATATATGTTATTTCTAAATGCTCTCACAACAACTGCCATATGGCAAAATGTTATGTAAAAATATGGATCAATACCTTTAGACAATAAGTAATAATAGTTTACCAATAAAAAAAATGTTTCTGTACACATCAATAAACAATGAGTAAACATCTGTCACTATCTTTAAAAATAAAGTAGATGTCTACATAGAATTTTCTTTATAAAACTAACAACATTTATTTTGTGTTTAGTGAAACAAACACCATTAAAAAATACTAGGACACTCCAATCAGATTTTAAGACATGATTAACTGAAAGAATTATCAGACTATATACATTTGGGGAAAAATTTTTTAATTATATATGAATTGTTTCCGAGTTAATGTAATACTTGATTAACTTGGAGATCATTTCCGAACTTCCCCCTCCCCAGCAGTTTTAGTTGAATGTAATAGGTATTCCCTTAAACAAATACAAGTGAAATTTATGTTGAATCTAGAAATTATTTGAGAAATAATATACTGATAGACTCCAGTAATATAACATGTATCTGTTGTTTCATAAACAAAACACAGCAACTCAGAATTTAAAAATTATTTCAAAAGCTGTGTTCCACTTGAAATTAACAGTATAATCTCATTCATTCTAAAGCTACTCATAACTTTTTTTGTATTCACTAACTATTACTTTGTGTTGCTGTAAATATTTCACAGATTTTATGTCAAGATGTTTTGCTGATATGGAAAAGGTTTGATTCTTGGTTATTTAAAAACTGGTTACATCTAGGTTAGAAAAGTATTTTGTGGGGTGGGGTATCATAAAACATATCTGATTAGCCTGAACAAAAACTATGGCAAACCATTAAAATAAAATATGTGAACAGAGATAAAATGTTATTCCTTCATTACTGTAACTCATTGTACTCTTCTTTTTTAGTATTATTATTTTTATATATTCGTCTTTTCTAAATAAACTTCAGTCCTTAATTTGTTATGTATCAACAATAAGTTGTTATACAAAACCAACTTCTTTTTGTATCAAACAAGTGAAAATCAGTTAAAAATTAATTCATTGAATTACTTTCAATGAATATATTTTTCACTTAATTCATTCACAGTTTGAGTGACACATACCTAGAAAATGTATGAAGAATGCTACATCAGTTTTATACATAAGTAGTTCTTGCTAATAAACAAATTATGGTCAATTTATTTTGTTTGAGATCATAGGTGAAAATCTTCATTTCTCTCTAAGCTGCAGTCATATTTTGTACCTTTCCATTATCTAATACATTACTTCATACTATGCTTAAATACAGCAAACTATCAACTTCAAAATTTTTCAGCTTGTGCTGTTTTTTGTTGATTAAGAAAGCATACTATGTTGTGTTATTAAAAGAAGACAACACTCATTGTATTTAAAAAAATGTGCTTACCACAAAATGTAGGTAATGAAGTAGTGGTCCATGGCAAACTCTTGTATAAACTGACACACACACACACATAAAGAATACTGTAACAAGGATCAATACTTTTGTAAATTTTCAGAGTAATGTTCTGGGCTATAGTTTGTAAGTTTAATATTATTTTTATCCTCAAGTTTAAAAGTATTTAATCCATTGTGCTTCAAACAATGGAGACATTATTCAAACATATAATCAGTTTAAAATACAAGATTTATAAAATCACTTAGCCTAGTATCTCCTATTGTATTTTTGACCCCATAAGGCAATTTCTTTGACAAGTCCTTTTTATCTATCCTCATCAAATTCATGAAACTTTTTCACTAATTTCCTTTGTCGGTGTTCTGACAGTTTTTAGTATTACTGGATTATATAAATTGCCAGATAGTGTGTATAACAAGCAAAAGGATACCACAGATAATGTCTTCAAATACATGATGTCTACTATACATATACACATCAGATTTTTAAATTAAGCTTTGCTCTGAACCATAGCTGAGATGAAAGCAACTTCAAAGATTAATCCCACCAAGAATTTTCATCATGATTGTGTATTATATTTCTGAAATGCAACAAAATTATACTGTACACATCTCTTTAGTGAACCAACAAATCTACATATCATAATTGTTTTAAACTACCATGACTTCTTTTTTTGTAGTGAATTATTACCAGTTTACAGATTTAACACTGACCTATGACAAAATTTTACTTTCTCCACACAACATAGTTATGTTACAATACATTCTGTAGTTGGTTTTAAATATTTGGTACTGTTTCCAATTTCAAACAAAAAGATCTTGTGACTTAACTGTTGTGCAGGATGTGTACAAATGTTGAAAAGAATAAAAATACTTTAACATACACAAGTAACAGGCAGTAACTACTAGTTACAATAATGTATTTTTCATCTAGTTTAAAAACGTATTTCGAAAATAGAATACCTGATTTAAATGGTTTTAGACATATATATATAAAATTGTAAATATGCCTTTATTAAGCTTTATCATTAGTACTTACTTCAAACTTCAGAAGTGCTAAAACTTGCATGTTAGTTGTTTGTTTCTCACAGTTTATGATGGTTTCAGTTATAACAAACAATACCTTAACTTTTTGTAACAAGTAAAACAAAACTTTTTTATTTGGAGTTTTATTTTTGAAAACTCAAGTCCTTTGATTGTATATGCAATTATTTTTACCACTTCTGACATTTCACAAATTTAAGCAGTTGTCACTCATTTCAGTGAATGCATTGAAGGGCATAATACTAGTATAATGACAGAATTGTGAAAAAACAAGACAATTGTACATTTCACAAATACGTAATTTATTCATGACCATGGTTTCACCAGTAAAGGCATCATCAAGCAAAACCATGGTCATGAATAAATGATGAATTTGTGAAACGGAAAATTGTTTCATTTTTCCTCAATTCTGTAATTATGGAGTTTCACCAAGTACCCACGCTTTCAAGTATCAACTAGTATAATGACACAATTGCTGGAATTTCTACGTAGCTAAATATTCTACACTTAAATATTTAACACTGTGTTTACATAACGTTTAGAGTAAAAATGTCTAGAAATCTTAACAATAATGTGGCTTAATGGTTGATCAGGTAATGACCAGCTGTTTTACTGCACCAGATGTGCCAATGACATCAAGGCATGGTACATAAACAGTTGAGCAAATTCCCATAACTATACCGTTCGTGTCAAAATTGACCCTTATGATTTTGGTGCCCGAGGTTTGCTCATACTACCATCCATGAAATGATAATGAGGCTCTCGTCCACACTTGGGTCTATTGTACTCAAGATGATCATACTGAGCATCTAAAATGATAGAAAGAAGCTAATTAATATGTGAAAAACACAAGTAAAATCATATATTTTCTATAGCAATCTTACTGAAGTAAGTTATTTTAAATAAGGTTTGTGACTAATCATATAGAAATGTTTACATTTATTAATCTTGGTTACTTGGAATCATGTATCTCAATGAGCAGTTTTGGTTTTCGATCAGTTTAACAATACTTACTGCCATATATTTTAAAATGACTCTATACATTCTTAGTACTAATACCTTGTACAAATAAAATATTATTGGCCCAACAGATGATCTAACTTAGGATGTAATTTCCCCAATATTAGATTTTACTTCAAAAATGTAATTGAGCTATTTTAAAAAAACAAAGAATTTTGAATTTCATTTACAATGCATAAATGATAATTTACACTCATAGAATTCATGTTCATTAAAACAAACTATTACTGTCCAAAGAACTTTTTTCTTATGATTCGGTCTTGAATAAACTTTAAACTAATGTTATTAATGCCATAAAGGTCAAACAAATAACGTTAACACTAACCTATATGTACATAATCACTAAAATTCCTACACAATTGTTTTCTTTCATTCAATTTATTTTACAGATGCACAAAATGATCCCTAACTAAACGTAAGTTTTTCTCCAATAATACTTATTTAATAGCTGACATAAAACCTTACAGAAGAAAATATTAACATCTACAGTTCATGAGTTTCCATGTATACTTACAGACAGTGATATACAGTACCTCACAAAAGGAAATTATTTGGAATGGGGTTCAATTTAATCAACAGTAGAGTTCATACTTTTAAAATTTGTAGAATAGCAGAGTTAATTACGTGATCATAACTTAAAAACCTCAGAGCACAAACTGAAACAAAAACACCATTACAGGTAACAGTTATCATTAAAACTATAGATTTGCATTGTTACCAAAACACTTGGCTCATGAAGTCTAGTTTTAAAACCATGACTGTTTTGCAAGAGATTATACATTAATGACTTACAAAAATAAAAGCAGGTAAAGAGATTAAAACTGCCACAGTACAGAAAGATAGCACCAAGAATGAAAGTAATTTAAAGAACTTATAGTACTGACATAAAGAATACACAGGAGTTTGACAAATAATCCAAGAGTATATAATCCACTAGTTAATAAGAAATTGGAGACCACAGCTAAATATATAGAATGGGAAAAACAAATTGACTACATATTTAAACAGGCATTCAAAGAACACAGTAATACTTTATAGATTACACACGCCTGTGATTGTCTTGAAATTTTTACATGTTCTACAGTAATTCTTGTATGCTGAATCCGAAAATTATTTCCATTTTTTTCTCCGTCACGTACAGATTTTTCACCAAATGTCATATGTACTTTTAGATAAGCAAAATATTTTCACTGAAATCGGGTCACATTTTGTTTTGCTTAAAATGTTGTCAACCACTGGCAATAGATTTCTCTACACCAATTGTGATGTAAGAGTCTTACAGAATGTTCTAGAACCCATGAGAAACACTGCTAGTATATAAATGGTTAACAAGTCGCATGACATGTTATTTCTAGATAGTATTTGTTTGTGAGTGCATTTTGACATTATTTTTTTCTTTTCCATATTGTTTATTCATTGCTATGGCAACAAGAGGTTGTGTAAATGACCCAAATATATTCTGTCAAGAATCCTTACGTGATAGAGAAAAATTAATATTATTTTCAAAATCTGCATAGCTGAATTATGTAAAATCCATTATTAAAACCAAAACAACTTTTATGAAGTTTAAAATTACAGGCCTGTTTTATCTATTCATGGTGATATGGAATAAAATGTATTGTAGGATTAAACTGAACTTCTAAAGTGAAAGACTAGACACAATGTGAAGCAAAAACCACTTCATCTATCTGTAAAAACTAGAACACAACTTTTTAGAATCTGGATTAGTGAAAAAGATGCAAAGACAATATTATTTTTTCTAAAAAGAGGGATTCCAGAATAAGACTAAGAAAACAGCAATGTTTGAATATTACAAAACTTCAATTCACAACTATATTTTGACATTACTGGAAATTTCAGTTAGTGTGATGTCATCAAAAATTGATAGTTTTTGGGAAGGGTGTGTAACAGCTCTTTCCAATGCGAAATATTCATACACTCAAATCATAATTATGTATTCGGATTGGGGAATTAGAATTTCAAGGATGACAAAATAAAGGAATACAGATCAATATGCGGAACCAAGACCATCAAAGAAAGACCTGCAAAGCTGCGCTCCACATGTGGTTAGCAAAGCAGAGTGTTAGATAATACGTGAGAATTCACGAACACAAATCTCAGTGGCAAAAGCATCAAAAGTCACTTCTACAAAATATCCATTTAACTGTCATATACCTCAAGCAGTTGGAAAATAAAATGGGTATTTATATTCTTCTATATGAAGACAAAAAAAATCAAGTTACCAGATCCATCACCGTTTGATTTCTGTGCAATGGGACCATTGTTGAAATGGGTGCTGGGAAACTGTTACCCTCATACACTAAATTAATTATGGAAAGCACATAGGAAGAAGTGGTGTGAAATGGACACGAAAACCTTATGACACAGCCTTTTACAACTACACTACAGGGTTATCATCAGATAGAGCATATATGAATGTGGCGATATGGACTGTAATTCTGTGGAGAGGTTACAAAATCATTTTAATATAAAGATAATTATATACAATACCCTGTGTACCTATAATCAGATTAATATATATTACATAAATAATTCTATTTTTTCAACCCCAAAAAAGGCTTACCATCAACACACTTTTCCTTGATTTCTTCATAATAAGGCTCCTTTAAAAGTCCAATTTCCTCTATAGTCTGATAGATATTTGGCTCCATGTTGTGTTTTTTAGATGCTGAGTTTTCCATACACAGTGGTTCAGCACATGCACCTAACAAGTATACAGTTTTTGTTCACATAAAGACAAACACTTCCAATCACCACTTTAGGTGGGATAACTGTTCATTAAGAATTTTCTAAATAACGAGTCTCAGACATTAGCAAAAGTAGTTTTCTACAAGTGAATGTTTAAAGTGTTATGAGTATAACTACAAAGCCACTCTTTTAAAACTATTTGAATTTATGTAAAAGTGAATACAAAGTGTAGAAACATTCAAGTCCGTATATGTTAATTTCTTTGAATATCTGCCAAGTTATCAAAGAAACAGTTTTAAAGTTTTTAATTCACTGATTTTCCCTTGATTGCCAGAAATCTAGTTCAAAGATTTATCCATATTATCTTTAAAATTAATATAATATAAAATACAGGTAATACAATTGTATAACCAAATTAATGCTACACTACTATAATTTTAAGACAATGTAATGTCTTTTTACCTTTTGTTCTCAACTCCTTATCTTCTTCATCACGATAAGTATCATAAAGCTTTACATCTTCCATACCATCATTTGCATTTAAATCATCCCCAGACTGTTTAACTTTAGTAACAGTGCTACTATTCACAACTGTAGAAGTACCATTGTCAAGATCTACTTGGCAGGTGTAGACTAGATTATCAAAATGTTGCTGTCCTAATAATGAAGAAACAAAATGATATTTAGAGAACAACTTTCTTAAACCAGCTGAGCACTTTTATTTAAATTATAAACTTTCAGTTGTTACAATCATCTGCAGATAATCTAATATTCATAAATTTTCTTAGTAACAAGCTTATAAACTAAATACAGAAAATATAAAACAAAAATCTTACTCAGCTTAGTAATCTCACGTCTGACACAATCTCTAATCAGAATATATCCAGCAAAAGATGTAATCTTTCTTTTTTATTTTAGTGTGTAGTGACCTTATCTCCACAATTTTGAAAACATTTACTACAAGTCTGTAGGCACAGAAATATACCAAGAGATTTGTGCTTTTTCATTAAAAATACTCAATTAAGTTAAACTACATGATTTGTGTTCTTTAACCATTTCAAGCTACATCCTTCTTATATAAGCAACAAAGTAATGGCAATGAAAGGTACAGCATTTTAACAAAATTTATCCCAGTTGATTATTGTCTTAATATGTTGCAGAGTTCTTTGTATTTTTGACATTTACTACCAGAACAAGCAATGAATCTATACTTGCAAAATATTACAAAGAATTCAGAATATTGAATGAATGAATAACAACATTGTGGGAATGAAAATAGGTTAATCAAATGCTTACTTGTTTTTCTCTGAGCTTTTATTCTTTGTAATAAATTAATTTATTGAGTATACACACTAAAAAATATCAGGTGTTAGTATTTGACACTAACTTTATTTAACAAAAAAACATTAATCCGGTATTACATCATAATTTATTGTTTGGGGCTTTCTGACACTCCTGTTAAAACTACAGATTTTATGGATGTCAACATTTAATGTTAAGTTTGCATGAGCTTCATTTAATGACTTCTTTAGTATTAACTTAAGTAGGAAGTTTCACAAGTTAATGTACGTTTATTTAATGTTTTTTTAAATTTTCAATCAAAACTACAAAAGGATTATCTGCACATATAACTATTCCTTCTTTTGAACTAATACACTAGAGGGGAGGCAGCTAGTCGACAGCATTCACTACATAATGACTAAATAGTGAGATTTAACTGTCATTCTTATCATGCACCCATGGCCCCAAAGTGCAAATCACATTTTTAGAGCAACAGGACATAAACCACAAGTTCTCAGATTCACAATCTAGGTAACCACTAATCCACACCTTCCCCTTTGTGGACTGTACTGCAGCTAAATAGTGTAATAATTTTTATTTAATTTTGATGTTCCCACTGTTATTCAAAAAAAGCAAAAAGTTAAGAAAAGAAATTGCCGATAGAACTGGAAACTTTAAAGATTTACAGAATAAAAAATATAAAATGGTGGATATAAAAGCATAATTTATGCTTACATGCTGATGGTAAATGACATATATATCTATTTTTCACTATCATTTTATTTTTTTCATGTTGGTAGTTTGTAATATAGGTAACTTACACCTGACAAAGTCTGACTATGTAGCTGGCAATACTTAGCAAAATTGTTGAGTTAATGACCTCTAACTATGAGGACAACATAGAACAATTATAGTTTTAAATAGTCAATGTATTAGATTTTATTATAAATTAACCTCTAATAAAAACAATTTTTACTTATAAGCCAAGACTTGTCAAATAAACAAACATGTTTACATGTATATCTGCTTACCATTATTTGTGTTAAAAGTGTACTTCAGTAATTCTAAAATATTTTAGGCCTAACAATTAGTTCTCACTTAGCATAATTCAGCTTATAATCTACTTTTTTAATAATAAAATTATATGAAGTAATTATAAACTTAATATACTATGTTAGATTTAATATTAATATACAAGTATAAAAATTGCCACTTTCAACTAATTTTTTATTATCTATTAAAATAAAAAATTTAAAGTATAACACCAAAGCCAAGACCAACTCTGTACCTAATTTATCAAGTTCAGTGGTATTCCAATGGAACATTGAAGTTTGATCATCTGCATACATAAATACAAAATTCAGGAACTTATATAACTATATTATGTCTGTGAATGTGTAAACAAAGCTACAGCCCCTTATATTTTGAAATTTAACACACTCAAGATGTCAGATGCATCATAAAAATCAGTATTTTTACACACTAAATATTCTTAAACAGAAAAAAAAGGAAAATACAAAATAAAATTTAAAATTTTTTTAAACAGTTCTGCACAAAATGTTAATTTGTGCTAAATGCAAGGACATGTAAAATCAGAACAACTTACCTAACTGTTGGTCGGCTTCATACCTACAAAAAGTTCAACATCAGTATATCAGTTACTACTTCTCCCAGATGCAATAATTCTTCAGTTCTTACTTACAGAACTTGAGTAATTCAATCACAATTCTTATCCTATTCAGAGTAATAGCAGCCATGGAATTTACAATGAAAAAGCCAATTTCATACACCTACACAAAATCTCACACTTTTAATGTTTATCAGAAAACATTCAAGAGTTAAAATAGTTGTGAGCAGTAATGTGCATAATAAGTGGGATGACTGGATGGGTTCAAGTCCCTGTTTTCCTATCCTTATGCCCCAAAAGTGCCCTTTTTCTCAATCATAAAAATTATCAACAATTACTAAAAGATATGCCTGATTCCACACTTTGCTTGCTGAGATTTATTAGGAAAAAAAATTAAAAAATTTTCAGTTTTAAAAAGAATGGAACACAGGGACTTGAAGATCTTTACAGTAAAAAAATAACTGTGGTATGCCATTAACCCCTTTTGCTACGGGAACGAAAGTGTGCACATCATGACGCTTTAAATAGTTACATTCAAAATTTAATTAAACAACTTTATTATCAACGTATATGAATAAACTTGGAATTATACTCTCGCTAAGGGCTCAGTTGAATCAGCAGAGTTTGTGACTGCAAGCAGGCCTTTTCAGTTTCCACATTAAAACTTCCAATATATTTCGTGTATCTTCATCAAATTATGCAAGCTTTCATTACGCATTAAGTCTTTTGTAGACAAATTTTTATGAAGTATTTTCACTAAAACGTTTTTGTGAATATATGGAGTCAAAGTGTTGACAGCTCCAAGTGCAAAGTGATTTTCATGTTAAGATTAAAAATACTTCTCCTCATCTGAAAATTGTCACCACAATAAAAAAACTATGAAATACATCTAAATTACCCTTTATTCTTTCTAGAATGACTTTGTATTTTAACAGGAAACTACATTTGTTTATCCTAAATAGCTTAAAGCTCATAACAGTATACATCTGTTTATACATAATGTTTCAAAGGGTAATAAAAAAATAAAATTTGAGAAGAAACAGATGTATACCAGTATGAGCGTTAAGCTATTTGATATAAACAGTTGTAGTTTCTCGTTATGATTTGAAGTCATTCAAGAAAGAAAAAAAAAAGGATAAGTTAGATTTATTTCATATTTTTTTCATGATGGTTATGAGGTCGGTCAAATTGACCAACCCTAGATACAGTTAGGGAAGATAAAATATAATGTTTTATAGAAAAAAAGTTCTGAAATTTATTTAGGAGGTTTTAGAGATTATACAAATTAAGTGCAAAGTGGTTTTCATGGTGAGATTAAAATACTTTTCTTCATCTGAGGGTTTTCACATTTTATTTGTATAACTTCTAAAACCTAAATGAATAACAAACATTTGTTTTAGTAAAACTTTATATTCTATCTGTTATTTTCTCTACCTTAACTGTATATATGGTTGGTCAATTTTACCAAACCCATTAGGAGCAGTCAACACCCTGACTTAATACTTAATTATAAATTCAAATTTTTTTTTATGTTTAAAAAAACTTGTAATGTTTACTGAAAGCTTGTCAAATTTTGTGAAGATACACAAAACATATTAAAAGTTATAGTATGAAAACTGTTGATTACTTTGTGGTTTCAAGAATGGTCACATCAACTGACATTATATAGAAAAAGTATTAATATGCCAAAATTCACCATCTAAATTTTAAGTGTTTATAAGACCAACTGAATATGAATTAAAAACAAGGATTTGTGTGCTTCTTATAATTCTTTACACTATATGTACTAGAGGTAACCCATAGTCTCCCCTAAAATGGCATGCCTTGTGGTGCTTCAAAAGGGCTCATTTTTGTCAATGAGCTGCTGCCCTTTTAATGTCCTCTGCACATTACAAAAGTGCTCATTTTTGTCAATGTCCTTTTAATGTCCTCTGCACATTACAAAAGTGCTCATTTTTGTCAATGTCCTTTTAATGTCCTCTGCACATTACTGCTTTTGAGTATCAAGAAAACCACAAATTTCTATATGTTGCCCATAGTTATAACTGCTATTTCTGACATTATTATCACCATTTTTACCATACCATTTATCATTAGTTTATTTTTCAATTACTACAACTTTCAAGTGAAGAAAACTATTTAGTCATATATAGAATTGAAAGAGAGATACAATTTGCAAACCGTGTTTGAAGAACCTAAAGTAATATTATAGACAGCTTATCAAGACAATATATCTGAAATGCTTCTAATCTTTTTTTATATACTTGGTTTAAATAATAATAATAAAAAAGATTAGTGTTATTTGATAAGTTTGATGTTAACTTATTTTTAAATAGCTTGTATTACTACAAAGTAGCACTTAATTGGATAGTATTAACCGAAATCTAGTTCTCTGGCAAATGACAACTTATACATGCTACTGAAAAAGTCTGTTTAAAAATTTACTGCTCATTTTGATTCTGAAATTACAGACTTGCTTTTACATCACTCACTAGCAAAGGGTTCTATACTCCTGCAATATATTAAGTAATTTGTTTATTTTTGTCTGTTACAATGTTCAGGATAAAAAAAAATTAACAAAACACTTTAGGTGAAGTCAATCGTTTTCTGTGTAAAATACTTAGATCATTCCGGCAGTAATCAGTAATATTAACTGTAAAATTATTTTTTTCCTCTTCCCTCTTTCTGATTTTTTGTGCAATTCAGTATTATTTGGGACCCTGAAACCAACAAAGTCCCACAAGTAATCTGATATTTAAAAAGCTGATGATGTCCATACAAATTTAACTGGTAGTTCTATGGACTATAAGCAAATCTGGTTCTTTTGTAATTTATTATGATAGCAACTGTATAACAAAAAACATATAATATTTTTATAAAAAAGTAGTTAATATTATTAATTACTTCTGTTATTAATGCTTTCCTAAATAGTAACATTTAGAATTGTACTGTGAATATACATCTTTGTAATGTGTTAGCCTGATAATAATTGATTAGAAAAAGCTAAACAGTAACTTAAGGTTACAAAGAATTTATGTTTTAATCTACATATAAAGCCACGACTGATTACAAAAGGGAATGGAAAAAGGTGTGATAACCTACTTAGGATGATCAGGTTTCGGCTGAACGTTCTTGAGTTTATGCCTACAATACAGTAACAACAGAAAAAACACAACCAGAAGAATGACAACTATTACAACAGCTACAATTATCTTTGTTGTTTCATACATGTTGTCAACATTCAATTTCTTTGGATTTCCTTCTTTTGAATCTGTAAGAAAAAATGATGTAAAAAAAAACATCAATCACAATAGTGAGTTTCCTTTAATATCTAAACCCTTAACTATACATATTATTTTTCTCGGATATTGTCCTTAGTAATCACACAATTTATTCAGAAAACAAAGCTCTTGAATACACCTACAAAATATTGTTACATACTTCATTTTGTTTCATGACTAACTATAAATATGGTTTTTGGTTTATGCTTTGCACTACATTTCATACAATATTCTAAAAAATTATATTTAAAATACATCCATAGAATATAAATACTTATTTAAAACAAAAACCACAACATACAAGTTCCCAATTAAATCACGACCTGAAGATACACATGTATCACTTTTTTCAGGTCCAGAAACAAGTAAAATTTAATTTTGCATCAATAAATTTACATCTTATTGAGCAGTTAGTTTCCTCTAAAATAAATGTAACAAGCAATTTAATAGACTTCAGTGCATTAGTATGCAAGTTTTATTTTGTATTTATATAAAAGCATGGTAATAAGAAGAAAAAAGAACATTTTGGTTAATTTAATCTTCTACACCTAAAATAATACAGGTGTATTACGGCAGAATTTCCACTATAAGAGAGTAAAATTATACACTTTCTAACAGCTGCAAAATCAACAATTACTTAAACACCACATCATACTAGCATATCAGTGCTCTTCTGACCTATGTCTCACGTTCAAATACTTCTGGCAGGTATATATAGATTTTGTTTGAATGAAAGATTAAAATAAATATGAAGATGAGCATCGTTAACAAATCTTGTAGAAATAATAGGAAGTTATAGCAAATCCTAAAGTCAAAAAATAACAATGGTAATGTAATTACATTTCTTTAAAATACTAAAAAATAAATTTCTGCTTACCTGTATAACAATTTCCTTCATTATACCCCTGCTTACATATACAACCTTGAAATGGGCTACAAATGAAGTTTTCATTTGGACAGTTACACCTTTGGTTGCAATGTTCACCATAAAATCCTTCCGTACAAGCTGTAAAACATTTTGGACTTTCTAAAGCATAATTCCTCTAAGTCTATTTCTAAACATTCAAATAGTTATAAATACTCAGTTAACATTTTGATGATACTAGTTTACAACTACATTTTTACTCGAAACTATAAAATGTTAACTTTATGTAAAATAACTTAGCAACAGTTGTTGATATGATATTCTGTATTGTATGGTCAGTATATGCAAAAACTTTTAAAATACTTATTTGAAATTTTAATATACTTTTTCATCAGAATACAACTGATAAAACCCCAAACTAAAATGTACTGAAAATTCAGTTTCACTGAACAGTAAGTTTTTTACTTTTTTAATATTATTGTTGTTTTATTGGCTTTCTTTTCAGGTGAGATTTTGGTAATCAATATATCTGAAGCTTTAAGCATTGTGCTTATTATCAGATAAAAGTGCCTCTTAATGAAAACATTTTCTAATACCCTTTTGAAACATTTTATACTAGGTTTTAAAAAACCCACCACACTGTTTTATCCTCCTTTTTGTAATAATTTTGTTCAAGTTTTAGACACGCTTATTAATTTAAACATATCACACATGAAATAATAAAAAAATAATTATATTAAAATAACACATATTAAATTTCCATAGCCTCTGTTAATTTCAATGGTTTAAAATTTTTCAAATTGCTTGTAGTCCTTGATTAAATAAATATATTTAACCTGTAATATAATTCAGTAGATTTAGGTTTATTTTCTTACTATTTTATTTCAAGGTTGAAATACATTACTGAACTGCTAAATAGCTTGTTTTAACTAAGACTGTAATAGTAAATGAATTATCTACAGTGATTTTGACCACATTTTTCCAGTTGTGATGGAGTATTTTATGTAAGGCTAAAATTAGTTATTTGTTGTCTCTCTCTTTGCAGTCAGCTGCCAAACTGCCTGGCACAGGTACATTTGTAGGTCCAGAAATGTAACCAGCACATAAAACTTGTCTGATTGGACAGGTATTTACCTTATTTGACCTGCCAATATTGATAAAACATTCACTAAATGTTATAGTATGAGCAGTTATTTACTGTAAACCTAATGTTAACTTATTTCAAGTTAAGGGATTACAATATTATTATACTTTATCACAAATATTATTCATGATGTTTGTTTGCTTTCATATCATCAGCAACAATAAATTTGCCAATTTCCATTTCAAAAATTTTTCACACAGCTACTAATATACACATTTTATAAAACATATATAGGATATAAGTCATAGTCATGTAACTGCCATTATGAAAATAGGTCACTAATCAGCTGGTTTATAGTATGAATACATTTAACATCTGGTGTTTCTGCAACAAAAATAAACAGTTTATAATTGTTTATGTGAAGAAAAGTGAATATTAACAATGTATTATTCTTTAGAAATTATTAAGAGACCTGTTTGTAAATTCTTAGATAAACTAAACTATAATAAAATTTTGAGTTTAAAAGTAGTTTTGCTTTTAAAAAGAGGTATTGCTCTACTATTAGAAGCACACACAAAAAATAATACGAATTTAAGTTTGTAAAGCAAAGTTTAGATAATCTGTGGTGAATATTATAAATTCAAGTTGATAAATACATATGATGCTGAGTAATAAACAATCTTAATTCATAATACTACTAATATCACAAACTATGTATGAATTTCAAAATTATTCATGTTTAATTTACAATTAATAATTAAAATGATGTTTAAAAACGTTTTATTGATTAGCATATGAAACACTCAACAAAGTGATATTTTGTGCTTGATATTATGAAATCAGAATGTAAAAAATATGGTTAGAAAATTCAGAATCAATTGAAAAACATTATTTGTCATATTGAAATTTCTTAAATTCAATTTTAAAAAGGCTAAGAACTGATGATAGTTTTAATATTAAATGTTATTTTGTATGGGCTAACATAATCTGACAGTAATGCGCACTTACAACTTACCACTTAAACAATTAAATCCCATCCATCCTGGAGAACACAAGCAGTGCCCATCACTAGCACGGCACCTACCATTATGCTGACAAGTACACTTCTGAGTGCAATTAAATCCAAATGTTCCAGATGGACAGGCTGTAAGAATAACAAAAATCATATAAATAAATCATCATGAATAACACTAAAAACTACTTTTCTACTAGATGAGATTTCTCAGAATGTCAGGACAATACAAGGGAATTATTGGAATGTCCAAGAAAAATATTAAAAAAGGGTCAAAACGTGTTGGGCATTATCTATGTTATCATACTGCACATTTATATAAATCTAAGAACAAAGTTTAGTTGTAATATTGTTCTTTCATTGATTGGGTTGTATTAAATTACTTTATGAAAATAATTTGAAGTCCAGTTCATGTAATATCAAATTAGTTTATTTCTTCCTTAACATTTTGACAAGCTGCTTTGACTTTTACACTGTTGTAACTTGTAGGTCAAAGTTTACAAATGATTTTTAAATGGAAATACCTTGCTAATGGTGTCATAAATAACTTAATAAACTGAATTGGATAATTTCATGACTAATTGATTGTGTAACTGAATATAAATGATAACTAACATGGATCCAAATACCTTACTGAATGATTCATTCTTGTTTATTTAAATGACTAGCCCACACGTATTTATATCTCATATTTCACTTTTAGATACTCCTTGAAGTAATTACGTTTCATGATATCAAATTTAGAACTATATAGGATTTCTAGGTCTACTTTTATAAACCTTTCGATCTTAACATCATGCACCCTCTAGTTAACATCTAAATCAAAACATTGAAAACAACAGTATATACAGACAAGAAATATTCTTTTCGAAGCCATATGATTTTCCCCCTCCTATATAAACCAAGCACCATAGAAATAAATATGTATTTGTTTCATGTGTTTGTTTGGTCTAAGATTTTTAAAGAAAAAGAATGTTGTTTTATATGTTGAATGTAAATTGCTAGAAATACAAATATGTATATAAAATAATATTAGTACACAGTTCCATGATCCTTCTCTACTAGTTTCATTCATGTACGCTAATGATAAAAAAAAAAAGTGTTTTATTCATTTATAATTTTCATTTATAGTGTTTAAGAGATAACCAATATAAAAAGCTCATGTTACTCACGTGTTGAACAATCTATTCCTTTCCATCCAAAGTGACAGAGGCATTCACCTGTGATTGGATCACACTCTCCTTTATTGTTGCAGTGACACCTTTCCTTACATTGAGACCCCCACCAATGTTCAGGACATGCTGTTGGCAAAAAAGTATACATTAATTTATACATTAAAGAGAAATATTTCCTAATTTAAACACACTTTTTTCACAAATAAACAATAATATGAACACAATACTTAATAGAAAAAAAGATATTAAAGAAATATTGCAACTCTCCAACATAAGAATATCGGACATGATTATTAGATAAAATATATATTGAAAATTTTACTATAATGCATTATATTTTCTAGTATCTATGAGGAAAAATTAAATTTCTTTTACTTTGATTAAAACCCTAATTAACATATGGGTATTACAAAGTTTTTGTTTTATATACCTGCCCTTCCTGTTTAAAGACCTGAAAGGTAAAAGAATTATAAACAATCAGTTACTCTATTTCTAGTGCATCGAAAATTATTTGATGGTCTACGTATAAAAACAACGATGAGAGAGTTAATTTAAGTGTATTTAATCTCTGCTTTCTAGTCAATTTAAACTATAAATTTTACATTTAATAATTGAATAGTTAAAGATGTTCAATGACTCAGCAACTTAAAATATTGTACAACTTAAGCAAAAACTCTTACTTGCTAAAAATATTCTCTTTTCAACATCTTGTATTACTCATCTATTAGGTATCGATAATTGTTGTGGTTACTTTATAAGTGTACATTATAAATACATTTGTTGTCATCAGTGAATGACAATCAGGACAGGAATATTTTATATTTTAAAGATTAATTAAATTACAATAGACTATTTGTGTTTTTTTTTTTTTTACTAGAATAAAATTTCACCTATGACCACTCTTACTTGCTCACTGTTTCGGGAAAATTACAGAAAAACAAACAAACTATATCAACAATCAGAAAAACAGTGGTTTAAAAGATAAAAACACAATAATATAAGCTACAGAACATTTTTGTTTAATTCTTTTACTGTACTGTGTTATAATGCCTATATTATGATATCTGATTGTATGTAATGATGTACAATTGAATCTACAGCATATATTAACCTTCTTCCCTGTATCCTCACATAGATGTAGTTTTTATTGGCTATGCACATAATGCCTTCCAAGGGAATTCCCACGTTTTCTAATAATTATGTGTTATATAGTACACTTAGTCATGTGACTACTACAAATCGTCAATAAGATTATATGCTCTTGTTACAGAAAATTCTTTGATAAATCCTGTGGATTCTCCAACAATTTGCTGCTTTTACTTCTGCCGCTGTATATTATTCTTATCTGTTATAAACTTGAGTAAAAAAAAAGAGGGGGGGGGGAATAATGCTTTCACTTGTATAAAGGAATTCTTTCTCTATCATCCCAGAAAAATCAAAACAATGAATGTTGGAGAAACCCCATGATTTATTCTAAATAAGTTTTGAATACTAGATGCCTATGAAGTGTGTCAACATGTGTATTTAACAATGAATGAATTATATAACTAAGAGCAGTAGGCCTAAAAATGGCATGCACATTATTTTTCAGTGCCATTAAAAGATCGATGAATGTGACATTAGATATCACAAAACAAAGGATTCTATTGTGAAATCATAAACAACTTTTTCTAGTGGCTTCAAAGCTATATAACAAAAATTGCAATATTATAATGTTCCAAACAGAAAATAAATACTACTGCCATAGTGAAGGGCTAATATTGACTTTACTAATATTCTACACATTTAAGCCCACTGAAAATTATTTTACTGAGAGGCAATCTAGAAAATCACATATAGTATATTATAAACTTAATTGCAAGTTCACAGTCTTTGGAATTTCTTGGCTCACAAACCAGAATTTCAGTTTAGGGAAGCAACATAATAAAAGTTAGCATCAGGGGTCTCTATGTTTCAATTTACTATTTAAAAATCAGTCCATTTTTGAAATTTGTATACCACAACGTGTTTAAATAATAGTAACATACGTTTTAAACAGTCCCATTTATAATCAGCAGTTCCAGTTCAAGTATTAAATAAATATTAAGATACCATAATTTAGAGGTACATCTTAAGATAATTACTTATGAAATATTAATTTCGTATATTTTTAAAGTTTACTAAAATTAAAGGTACAGTCCTCTTATTTACATGTTCATTATCTTGGCTTCTTGAATAGCTTGTTTTCCAATTTATCATCCTTGTGTAACAGTACAACTCTATAATTTAAAAGCTACATCAGTTGATCACATGTATACTTACAGTTCATACAGAGGTGTCCTGTGTAACCTAACTGACAAGAGCAACTACCTGTTACATGATGACAGGTATGTTCGCTATGTTTACATTCTGGACAGCTTTCCATACATTTGTGACCAAAATATCCTGGTGGGCATACTTAAAAGAAAAATAAAGAAATTTCCTTTAGAATAAGTTAAGATGTGCAAATTATAATTTAAAAACATTATTCGTGTAAAATGTTGAAATATAAATAAAGTGCAGAGCATTACAGATACTGAGTGAAAAGGGTAACTATACAAAAGAAAAACAAAATGATAGACAGAAAACTAATACTCAAATATATGAATCTAAACCTTTTTTTACCACTTTCTATACACATTCCTTCGAGTATCTTACTAACTCTTTATTCTTTAACAATTAATGAGACCAAGATGCTTTTGGTACCAAAAGGAATTGTCCATACATATGCAAACATGAAAAGACATCCAATCAACTAACATATCATTCTAAGAACCCATGAGTGAAAGCAAAAGACAATATATTACACTATGTAAATCACACCATATCCAGTGTTGATGAAGTCTTTTGCCAAATATGGGACTCATCAGGCTGGTTGGAATAGGACAGACAAGACACTATATATATGATCATTATCAGTTTACATGAACAATGAATGTTAAGTCTGAACCAAATTAAGCAAGTGAATTGTAATTATTATTAACTTTATTTAAGTCAGCTTACAAGTCAGATCTTTTAGGGTAATAATTAATAACACAACATCGTTTACTTTATTTTAAACTTATTACTGACTGTATATTTATCTATTCATATTTATTATTATTAATTTTACTATCATTTACAAGAACTGACGAACCAGTCATCTATTCTTCTTGTTCCTGAAGCGGGTCAAGCAACCAGTTAATAGAAAAAATCTACATTAGTAACTCTAAGAATTCATGTGTGAAAGCAAAAGAGAAATGTTATTTCAAGCCTTTAATCGATTACCATAGCTCATCAGGCCAGTTTCGATACAATATTAAAAGCAGTGGTCTAAGTGCTTTTTATATATATATTTTTTTTTTTTCATTGTCCACGAACAATAACTGCTATAATATTCTTTAGAAAATAAATAAATGGAGATAACAAAAGAGATAGTGTTTACCCACAGACATTACTTTGATTCCATTTTATCTTAAAAGTTAGATTTCAAACATAAAGATCAACCTAACAAGTTAACGCTGTAAGCCTCAAAACTATTGAAGAATTAAAAAAAAAACAGAGGACACCCTTGAAAAAGATTCTCTAACAAGCCTGACAGAATCATATCTGAAAAAAAGCATTATTTGGATAAAAGGAAGAAACACAACAAAGTTGGTGTTACAAAGACATCTATGTAAAGTTCCTAAAAGTGCATAACATCCAAAAATACACCAAGCAAGCAATACCAAGAAAAAGATGGTTATAGTCTTTGTATAAGAAGTTAGCATATAGAAACCATCCAAAGACAAGGTTAAGATGAAATATTCCACACACAAAAAAAAATCAAATGAAAATATCTTGAAGTTAGTCAGTTCATGAAGTTTTTTAAAAATATGCACAAGGCCATAAAGGTAAGTGGACTTTAGAAAAATTGCACAAAAACAAAAGACCATTTTACAAAACAATTAAAAGTTTAGCATGGATTATAGATGACTGTGTAAGGCACAAACATATTTTAAAAAAGAGGCAACAAAATATCTGAAACAATTATTTGTATTTAATGAACATACTTTTTCATATTATGCTTGTTAACATAAAATTCTGTAGAAATATGAAACACTCACTTTTATTACAGGTACTTCCAGTCCATCCATGAAGGCAAGAACAATTCCCTGTGCTAGTATCACAATAAGAGTTATTCTCACAGTTACATTTCTTGTTATATTTTGAATCTAAAATTGTTAGGTCATGTTGACTCTCACATCGAGCACCTGTCACATTAAGAAAAAGTTTTCATTCAAAATCAGTTTAATCCAACTAAAACACATTATTTTCCTTTGTTTTTTCAGTTTCTAGTACCACAGTTTTTCTCCTAATAACAAAACAAACTTAGTATTTTGTTTTCTCTTCCTATTTTTCTATTACGCATAGTTAAGCAGAGTTTAAACTTCAAATAAATAAAGGTACTATCATTAATAAAGTATTTCTCAATCTAATATCTCAGTGATAAATCTGTATAATGATATGACTGTGTTCTAATAAAAGACGTGCCCAAAGAGGAAATCACTTTAGCTGTAAACAAACTTCTTATTTACAATACTAAATAGGTATTACAGAATAACTACAAGATGGTTTAAAGCTTTAAAACATGGTGTATATTTACATAATTGTCACTGAATCAAATACAATTAGAAACAACTTACAGCCATGATCTCAAAAACATTTTAACATTAGAACTGCCAGGATTTCACTCATACCTAGAACCACCATACTGCTGTCATTTTGACTGCTACATATTACAGTGTCAGTTTTAAAATGAAAGACAAATTATTGGATACAACTCAAAGTTTTATTTTGGAACATCAAATCAAATGTATCTACAGCTGAAACACCATATTAAAATGAACAATTGCGCAAAAACAAAACACTTCAATAACTTGAATATTATAATAAAATAAACATATCAAAATAAACAATTTGGTAAGCAGGTATAAACAGCTATATGTACATACAAAACTTTAAATACAAACTAGAAAGTAAATTATTCTAAACAGTACATCTTCATAAAAAAAAAACTGAAAATAATTATACAACTCCTATTATAAACTAGTCTGAGTGACACAATCCACGCAGGTAAAACACTTTTTAACTTTCACTGTGCACTTACCTCACGTCTTTCACACAGGACACTCTTATCTGAAGTTCTGTTTTTATTGCATTTAGCTAACTGGCATTGTTTTCTTTTACATGTTTAACTGGATTCAGGCTGAGATGTTTGATGCTTTACAGTGTTCTCAAATGTGTTTCTGTCAAAGCTCTGAGGCTACATCAAGATGAAATCCCTCCTACTTATATTTTCTTCACTGCATTCCTTATACAAAACAAAAGAATTGATGGTGGCCACTGACAAGAACTAGCTTTTACTGAGTACTGGTGTTTCATCTGGTCTGGAACATCCACTCCATACATTATTTGGTTGTAGAAAAGCAGAGTCTCCAGTTTTTTCTTCTCAGTAGTGTCAATGCCAACTGACATGTGACTCTCAGCTGAGAATGCAAACGTTCTTCCTCAGCTTGCACTTGTAAACAGTCAATGTAGCAAAGTCACTGTGTTTCAAAATTGTACTGATGTACAGCCCTGGTTGTACATTTAGCACAGATGATGGAAGCTCTCTTTTTGATTTGTTCACTGTTTCAACAGGGCTGTTGTTTGTTTTTTCTGCAACTCTTTTGCCAATTCAAATCAAGTGAAAAAAATTGCCTGTAGTCATAATTCTCTGATCAGCTGGGTGAGTTTCATCTTTGTCAAGATAGGGGAAATCATTCAGAATGTATTCTGATGTAATGTTTACTGCAAGTCAAAACCTTATGCCAAGTTTGTTTGGTTAGTTTTCCATGTATTGTGTCCAGCAACACCGTGCTTTTATGGGAAAAGTTGCTCATCCACAAGAATGTTCTCTCTTCACTTGTAGCAGACAGTGCTGTTTTCAATATATCCATTCCAAATTTTGGATGCCATCGCAAATTTATCTGTTTGAGGTTGGGAATTTCTCATTGCTCTCAAGTCAAAATGCAAAAATCTCAATATTTCTTGAAATCGATTTCTTGGCATTGTCTCTGTAAAAAAAAAGGAATTCCCCAATGTGCAGACCAAAAGCTCTTCAGGTAAATTCTTTGACCACCATATGCCCTACAAACAAATAGAAGTGTAATAAAATGCTTATAATTTCCCCAGAGATATTTTCCATGTATAATCCTTTTGCATCCTATGCACCTCTGCTTCAGTACATCATTGGATGTAATATAGCATATGAATCAATAAGTGATAAGCACTGAGAGGTCTATCAATGTTGCATTTTGAATACTGTGTAGGACCTGGATTTTCTGTTAAAACGTTTTGTGCAGCTCATCTTCCTGCAGATTCAACAGTAAGATTCATAACTACCCAAATTGTTCCATCTTTCCCAATCTTCTATATGCCAGTTCACACTGGTGTTGCAGTGGAAGTTGCTGTGGCTGTTACTGTACTGGGTGAAGTGGCTGGCACAGCTGGAGCACCTGCAGCAGGAGATGACACTGGGAAAAGGGAAGGGGGAGAAATGGCATAAAAGAACAGTTGCCCTCACAAGCCACAAATGTCTTGGGAAGGAAGCTACAATCCATATAAAGGAGAACATAGGTGTGGCAGTAAATAATACATGAAATATTGATGGAGATGATGTCTGACCTTAGACGACCACAAACCAAAAGGAGTAGGAGAGTTTGAGGGATAAATGGTAAAAGAAACAGGTGGCCAAGGGTACAAAATGAGGACGGGTAAGTGTGTAGAGAACAAAATTAGTATCTCAATTTGGTAAAATTGTAGGGTGAGGAGGTGACTGATCTGGAAGGAATGTAACAGAAGGGAAGGGAAAACACTGTACAATATCTGGTAAAATGGAAGGTATTGAACAAAGCTGCTCAATATCTTTCTATGACAGATATTGAGAAGTTATGATGAAACAGTCAGGTACAATTCTGAGACATAAGGTGTGGTGCAGTGACCAATGGAGAAACATCCGTCACTGTCCCTGGTAAACCATGAGTGAGGAAGGGTGAACTGAATGGGACAAAAATGAAACCATATATGTGGAGAGTCCGGATCCCCTTGTAAAGTACCAGACAAAAGCCACACATGAAATCATAAGTGTGGGAAAGGCAGGAAGAAAAACCAGTGACAGGTTGACAGAGGAGGGATTATAAAAGATAAAAAGATAATGAAGGCATCATTTGGAAGAGGATAAGAACCAGGAACCAGAGCTGTGATAGCCAGAAAAGTGCTATCAGAAGTACTTGACATGGAGTGGGCTGGATGATGGAAATCACCTTGGGTAGGAGACAAATCAGTGGGTAGGCATATAGGTATAGGTTGGTCTAGTGCAGTTCGAAAGCATCTACAGCCAAAGCGCGGGGACTATGTACTGAGGATGAGAATAGGGATAATTGGTGGTGTGATATGTGGTTAAGCATCCAACTGAGAAGTATCACATTGTGTGCAGAGCCACAAGAAAACCTGAGGGTCTAGGGACCACTCCATGGGGAAGACCTGTTTGGGATGAGAAAGACAACCCCTGACCAGATTGAATGCACCCGGAACATGACACACAATGAGGCATGAGTAAAAAACATGGGTCTAAAAGAGTAGTTATAATGTTTGGAAACAGAGCAAGTGTGAATGAGTGCCACCCTATTGATTGACGTACGAGACAACTATCAGATTGTTGGAATTGATCCTGACCAATGTGCCTCATACAGAGGGATGGAAATGATCCAAAGCCTGATGGATGGCCAGTAGTTCCAAGATGTTGATATGCATGGTTTTCTCGACAGAAGACCAATGACATGAAACCTCCTGATGCTCCAAACACACCCCAACCCGTGAGTGATGCATCTATGAACAGGTGCAACTCGGGATGAGGAGGTGGAAGAGAAATACTTGCTGTGATGTTGTCTCTGTTTATCAACCATGTGAAAAAGATTAGGAGGGAATGTAGAAGATGAATAATGGAGTCTACTGGTCATGCAGCATTCATGGCAGGGTGTGCATATGAGCATGACCTAAGGATATAAGAACTACCATGGAAGCCAACTTCCCCTCAAGAGAAAGAACCTTGCAAGAAGTTAGTGTTGGAGAGATTAGGGCCTTGGTCACTAAAAACTCCCTTGACCATAGAAAAGAAGTAGCAGGCTGGGCCCAAATTAGGGAGTAGTTGAAAAAGACTCTTAAGTGGACAAGATATTGGGTAGGTGAAAGTAGGGACTTCTCCACTTTCATAATCCAACCTACACAAGGTGCTTCTATCAGAGGCAACTGTGTGTATGTGTGTTCATGTGCTATTGATTTGGATGGAGCCAGTTCATCCAGAGAATGACGAAAACATAAGCCCTGGGCACAGAGTAGTCGAGCTAAGACCCTGACTACTCAACAAAACACATAAGGTGCTGTGACCAGCCCAAAGGGCAGCACACAAAACTGGTAAACCCAACCTTTGAGGACAACCAAAGGTTCTGTTTGGAAAGTGGGGCAACAGGGATGTGGTGGTAAGCATTTTAGATGTCTACCTTGGTCATCCACAGACCTGGAGTGAAAGCCCACAATAGTGTGAGAAAAAAACAAAAAATTCCATGCTGAAATGGGTAAGGTCTATGAAACAGTTCAGCCAAGTCAAATCTATCACCAGACAACAGTCCTTGAATTACCTGGGAACTACTAACAGCCTGGAGAGGTGTAAGTAAGTGGTATGGGAAAGAGGGGCAGGTGAAGGCTTAGATAACCCAGAAACTAAAGAAGAAATAGTGGAATGTTGTTGTACAGACTCCATCTGCAACTCCAGGAATTCAGGAATGTTTCCAAAATGAAATCCGCATAAAAATGGTGACCTTTTAAGGTCACACAGATAGATAGTAGGTAGGCACATCTGAGACAAAAGTGCATCCTTACCCAGGAGATCCCAGCAGCAGAGAAGTCATGTATGGAGGGAAAAGAACTGAAGAGGATAAATTCAACAATGTGGAAAATATGAGGGTGCAAGTCTCCACTGAAAACCCTACAGGGGATCAGGGGGATAGCCTTGGCCAAGAGGTGCATGATAGACAGGTACTGAAAAAAAGAAGTAACGGTCAGACTGAGTCTGGAATACTGGGCCTGGGAGAGCCTAAACAGAGAATCAGAAAAAACAAAGCAAAAACAAAATCAACTGCAAAGTTAAAAACACAAGCAAAATTTTGTAACT